CCGGGGTTTCATTGGCGCCTTCCCGCCCCCTCCCCGTCCCGCCTCCCGGCGTGCTGGTGAAGTTTCTCCTCCGCAGAGGATCAAAACAGCCGGACCGGGGCGGTCGCGACGTTGCCATAACTAAGATCAGTATTGAAATGACTCCCGGAAATAACATTGCGTTTTAAAACCTGTAAGAGAAGGCTAATGGTTGGAGCGATGGGAGGGTGTGTCTCTCTGTGTGTGGAGAAAATGAGGCAGTTGGGTTGGTGGCATCGGGGGGACGGAAACAAGCTGATAACTTTGCTTGTGTTTTGCTAATGCTTAACTTTTACATAAGGGTTTACTTGCATTATTTTCTTGCAACAACCTTATAAGGTAGGCCAGTTTTATTTTCCCTGCAGTGCTATTGGAATGGAGAGGGTGTGAGAGCAGGAATATCTGAAGTTTTGACTTCATAGGTATTTTTTTTCTACAAAATCTGTGATTTTGATTACCAGAATGCCTTGGACTACCTACGTGCCACATTTCAATTTTCTGGATGGCCTTGAAAACATTTTCTTTTTGTGGCCTCGTTTCATTGCCCTGTTTTAAGTGAGATGTACAAATGACCCACTGGTTTAAAGTTACTTACTTTCTAGTAATCAGGATGGTATGAAACTACAGGTATATCAAATTTCAGGCCCACAGTCCTAGATAGCATGCAGATAGCAACTAAATTGCATGGCTTAAAACTTTCTGTGTATTACTTCATTCTAATTTCTTTTAATCTTGTTTATAAAGTAGTTACTTAGGATTTACATCTGGGTCTTTATTAATACAGTAGGGCCTCTTGACCTGGTCAACTAATTTTTGAAAGCAAATATCAGTTAATTTGCTTTTATTTGAATCAAGAATGGAAAAGTTTTGTTTTTCAGTAAGCAGTTCTTGTTTGCTGGCTGATATCAAATTCAGCTAAAATGATAAAAAATATTAATATTGCTAAACCCAATTATTCAAAATCCTGTGTCAGACATATAATATAGAATTGTTATAGATCCTGGTTCCCTCCTCTGATTCGAAAAACAACAACATACTCACCAACAAATTTCTTTATGCTTTCCAGGTTTCTTGCCCTACTCAATTTTAATTTTTTGTGGACTCTATAGTTAAAAAAAAATGAGAGGACAGCAAAGCACAACACTTCCCTCAAACATAACCTGCCTGGGCTTTGCTTGCCTTCCCATAATGGGTATTTGGGGAGCCAATCACCAGTCATCCATTTTGTGAATGTAGCCAGAATGGACTCTCAAAATTTGAAACTTGCCCACTGGCCCAGAGAGGTTGGGACTACATAAGTCTGCAGTACAATCCCTGATATAGAAAACAGTGATTTGGTCTATGCCAGCATTTGTGAATTGTTAAAGGCATTATTACAATTAATTTTACTACACTTAAGAAGCAAGTTGTTTTTAAAGTCAACATATGTCCATATTTATATTTTTGACAGATGCTTTCTTTACATGTCGAAAGAATGTGCTTCTGCCAAAGAGCACACCCATAGACGGCCTCTCTGCTCCAGTCGGTGGGAAGCCAGGCTCGGAGGAGCAGCAAGCCCTGCTGCAGCAGTGGCTGGAGAAGGGGGCTGGGGGGCTTTGCTCTAATGAGAGGGCTTCAGAACCGGACCAAGTGCCAGCCATTTCGGCGGTGGAGTGGCAAGAAGGCCCAAAGCTACTGATGACAAGTTTAAGCAACTTGATTGTCTCGCCACAGTCTAGTGGCCAAGAGGAGGAAGAGGAGCAACAGCTGCAGCAGCTGCAAGGGGTCCCAGCTGAAGGATCTTCTGAACTACAGGAATTTGTAGAAACTACCCTGGCAAGCTCACCAACAGAGGAAAGAGAGGATGTAGAAGTCAGTGCTCCGTGGGCAGCAGTACAGACAGAGGGTGATCTTCCAGATGTGGATGCTCCTCTGTCCACAGAAGTGTGGATCGAAGATCCTGCTGTGTTAGCCTGGAGTCCTGCCCAGGAGACTGATGTGGTATCAGCCGAGGGAGTAATGTGGCCTTTTGCAGATGCAGGTCAATTTCAGCCACTCCCACTAGAAATACCTTATCATGGTGAGCACTAATGCATTTCATTGTGTGATTTTGACCTTGCTGGATATGAGCAGGATTTGCCATTATTTTGTGACTTTATGATTTCTATCATGTGTGAATATTAGTTGTGTTAGATCTTGCGGAAACACCTCAGCCTTACCTTTCCTTGAAATCCTTCAAGGTATCTGCTGAATCTTCTAAATTCTTTTGATGGTTAGAGATATTATTACTACTCACTATGAGCCTAGTAAGGGCAAAAGCTAGTAAAATAACTAGTACAAATATACAAATAATACATATTAATTTAATCCACTGCATTATTTCTGCTCAAGAAGTATACCCAGTTACAGAAAGGAACTTTTCAGATAGTTGCTTTCAGACTAGAATGACAAAATAACATCTTTAGGGAGTACCATCATTTTTGTAGAATGGATTTCCAGAATCTAGTTCTGAGAGGAATCCAGAGGCTTCTTTGATGTTTCTGAATATAATGCCCAAATGCTAGCTTTTGAACATTTTCAATTTTGGAAAAGAAGCTGTTAGTTTGTCGCAATGAAAATGTGTTTGTGAAGTATAACACATTTATTAGTTTGCAGAGAGCTGTTGTGTTAGTGAAAGAAAACTATCTAAAGACTCTCTTGTCCTAGTAAAAACTCTGGAAAAATAGGAATTACTCAATTCTACAAAGCAAAGATTTATTTAGGTTAATTACAGAGGTACATTTAATGTTTTGCTCTTTAGATCAAATTGTAGGTGATGTTACATCAGAGTACTGCATTTAACTTAAAAACAAAAACTGCAGTCTTGGAAAAAGGAAGTTTATACCTCTCCCCTGCAGTTTCCTGTGGGTCACAGCACATCAGCTAAGGCATCATGTGTAGCTTTCCAAGTATATCCTCCAAATGCAGAATGTGGGCTTCTTATGGCTGGAACAAGGCCTTTGCACAGCTCCATCTTGTGTGCCAATTGTGCCCATTCCTGGATCGATAGGCCCTGCTTACAGTCACTCACGCCCTAATCACCTTCAGATTAGACTACTATAACGCGCTCTACATGGGGCTGCCCTTGAAGAGTATCTGGAAGCTTCAGCTGGTTCAGAATGCAGCGGTGCGGGCAGTTATGTGTGCTCTGAGAAAAGTGCATGTTACACCTCTGCTCCATGAGTTGCATCGGTTGCCAGTTTGCTTCTGGGTCCAATTCAAGGTGCTGCTTTTAACCTTTAAAGCCCTTCGTGGCATGGGACTGGGCTATTTGAGGGATCAGCATGTCCCATCAGATATTGCAGAGAAGGTGTCAGGTTCAGCCCAAACAACTCCACGAGACAGTACAGATATAGTTCTATAGCATTTATTAGCTTCCACCTGCAAGACAGAATCTCGCCAGACTGAATCTAAACTTCCCAAGCCAGCAAGCAAACACTGCGAATTCCTTAGGGTGTTGCCAGTCTCATCCTCTTCACCTTCCCACACTCATTCTGGGGGCTAAGGAAATGCTTATGTCCCTGAGTGCGGCCTTCACCAAACCATTCCATCACAGAAGGCATGCTACGGGTACCATTGGCTAGGGACCTGCATTTGGTGGGTCCCAGGAGATGTGCCTTCTCTGCTGTGGCACCCGCCTTATGGAACATCCTTCCTATTGAGATTAGATTAGTGCCATCCCTTTTGCTATTCTGAAAGGCCCTTAAGACCTGGTTATGTGATCAGGCCTGGGGCTCCATTGCTGAGGGGTCATTTTTATTCTCCATTCCCTTATGCTTTGTATTTTTGGTTTTTATGGTATTTATGAATGCGTTTTTTTAATATTTCTTTTTTATTTCTTCTTTTGTTTTTATCTGTCTTTTTATCTGATTGTTGTATGCCGCCCAGAATCACTTCAGTGAGATGGGTGGCTATATATATTTGCTAAATAAATAAATAATGAACAAGCCAAAGAATGTAGCCATAAACACACCAATGAAAATCCTAGCTGTATTTTTATTAGTTCCAGGATATTTATTTATGAATGTATTTAATCAAGTTTTATGCCCCCCCCCCCATCTTGCAATAGCAACTCTGGATGGCTAACAAAATTATGGCCCATATCGTGCATTCAGATGATACACTAACTCAAAACAACCCAGAGGCACATGAGTTGCTCAGGGTAGAGAGTCAGAGGATGCATGTGTATAAACTAGCCCTTACAGCTTATTAGCTTACTGTGAGGCACAGGCTCGGTCTCTAGTTAAATCCTCCCTCAAGTTGCTTTTTGCCTTCAAGGACAACATCAAGGTATCAGCCACAAGCAGGCATTTCCAGCATAGATCCAAACTGTGTCTTCTACTTTTTGCTCTTGTGCAGAGATTCTGTGGAGAGACTGGGAAGATCTCTCTGCCTGCATGCCAGAGCTGAACCCAGAGAGTGGGTCTCTATTTGAATTCAGAGTAATGTCATACAACATTCTGGCCCAGGACCTGATTGAGCAGTGCCCTCATCTTTATATGCATTGCCATCCGGATACCCTAAACTGGAGCTATCGTCTTGCAAATCTCTTACAGGAAATCCAGCACTGGGATCCTGATGTGAGTATAACTTGGCAGCTTTGCTGTATTTGAGTAGTCCTTGGGTTATGACAGCAATTGGAACTGGGATTGCTGTTGCTAAGCGATGCAGTTGTAAAGCAGGAAGTGGCAGGAGTCCCAGGTAAGGAGTGCAGGGGTGCCATGGTGGGGTGGGGAAAGCCCTGGGAGAACTGGTGCAGGCCGTGCACGAGCACAGGAAGGTTAGGGGATGGATGGCATGGCATGGCATGGCATGGCATGGCATGAGGCAGGAAGGCTGGGGGATGGACGGCGCAGCAGGGCGCAAGCACAGGAAGGCCAGAGGTGGATGGTGCAGCAGGGCATGAGCGGAGGAAGGCTGGGGGGACTTACCAGTCTTGTAACCTTCCTTTCAGGCTTTCCCATTGACTTTGCTTGTGGGAAGCTGGCAGGGAAGGTTGCAAATTATGATCATGTGATCGTGGGACACTGCAACCGTTGTAAGTGTGAGCCAGTTGCCAAGTGCCTGAATCACAATCACATGACCGTTGGGATGCTGCGATGGCTGGAACTTCGAGAACTGGTCGTAATTACCACCCATTGAGTGCTGTCGCAACTTCAAACAGTCATTGAATGAGTGGTCAGCAAGCAAGGACTACCTATATTTACGTTTGTAGTAAAAGGAGGAAAAGGAAAAGAAAAAGGCCCATTATGCTTTGTATTATAATGAAGCTTCAGATTATTCCTCACCTAGAGTCTATTGCTCACCTGTCTTTAAGCCTATCTTCTCTGATTAATTGGGGGTCATCTTTTGAAGGGGAGAGAACCATTTATTCTTTTAGCTTATACCATTCATAACTGTGATCATGCCTCTTGAATCACATGCTTCTTCAACACTCTTCACTTTCTCTCCCTATTTTCACTTGAATACATAGTTGTATACAATCTCAAAATATGCTATACAAGTGGTCCTCCCTTAATGACCACTTGTTCAGTGACCTTCAAACTTGTGATGAGACTGAACAAGTGGCACTTAAAGGCCAGTCCTCGAAGTTCCAGCTGTTGCAGCATCCGCGTGATTGTATGGTTGCTATATGCGACCTCTTTGCTGGTTTCTGACAAGCTAAGTCAATGGGGAAGCAGGCAGGAGGTTGTGAATGGTGACCACATGACACCCTTGCTTAATGACAGTGTGGGAATTGCTTAACAGCAACTGGAAGTGCCAGAATTTCCATTGCTAAGCAGCGCGGTCATGTGACATCTCACTTTACGACTTAGCGACGGCAATTCCAGTCCCAATTGCCATAATTAACTGAGGACTACCTGTATTTTTTCATTCTGTGGCAAATTAATTAGAGAAGATGATATATTTAGTAGAAGTGGAATGTGTCTAGTGTAAAGTAACTTATTTGTTCTGCCTTAGAAAGCTATGATGTAACTTATTGTAGTTATTTTCTTCTAGATTCTCTGTCTCCAAGAAGTTCAGGAGAATCACTATTGGGAGCAGCTGGAGCCAACACTGATGATGATGGGTAAAACTTCCTTTTGATAGTGAGCTCGGCTCAAGAATATGCCTCTTGATGCCTCCCAGCATGTTCAGTACAAATGCTTCTTACTCGATATTTAGCAGCCATCAATGTTTTGGGATGTTTGGCTTTATTTTGATAGCAGACATGGTTTGGGGACATGCCTTTAAAGTTCCAGTGGGTATCAAGTTCTGAATGGGAGGGTGTACTGAGTTTTGTTTTGCTTCTCCTTTCCCATGCATTGCTTTTTGAATGGAGTTGAGCCAAGATGAGCAGTAGCTTCTTCATCTCAAAGGTCAAACTAGACAGAAGAGGCATATGTAACAAGAAGTTTTTGTCATTTGGCTAGGCTTTACCTGCATCTACAAGAGGCGGACAGGGAGAAAGACAGATGGTTGTGCAATCTGTTACAAGCAGAACAAGTTCCAACTGATCAGCGCTAGCCCTGTTGAATACTTCCGGCCTGGCTTGGATATCCTCAGCAGGGACAATGTGGGCCTGGTGTTACTGCTACAGCCCTTATTAACAGAAAGTCCAGGAAACAAGGCAATCAGCCCTTTGTGTGTGGCAAACACTCATGTATTGTACAGCCCCCGTCGGGGAGACATCAAACTGGCCCAGATGGCTCTGCTCTTGGCGGAGATTGACAAAATTGCAAAACTGACTGATGGCAGTTACTGCCCCATCATCTTGTGTGGGGATCTGAACTCTGTGCCTGACTCACCACTATATAAATTCATCCGGAATGGCCAGTTGTACTATCATGGGATGCCAGCCTGGAAGGTAAGCAAAGGAAGAGGACCAGATAGTTTTGATTTAGCTCTTAAATAGTCTTATGGTTTCCAGCATCTCTTGAGAATCTTGCTTGCTTTTCTTTCCATCACAGCACAATCTTTTTTAGGTAAGTTCATTCGTTTAAAGTGATCTGGTTACTATAGAGGCCATCTGCAATCATGTTGCAGCAGAAAGTGCTATTTCCAACTAATAGCCAGCCAGATAGATATTTAAGAATTGTGATGGGTACTGCTGGGAGAGGAGTTGGCTTTAAGTCCTACCCAGTCTCCCCCCACTCCCATTTCCTTAGTCCTGTTATGCCTACCAAGCCACTGTTTGGGCAGTGCGGGAGAAGTGCAGTGGCTCTCTGCAGGGAAAAAGAGAAAGCCGTTGTTTGAGGGAGCTTATGGCCTGTGATCTGACATGTGTTCCTCATGGCAGAAAGGTTTCCTTTTGCAAAAAACAAGTAATTAAGCTGGGATAGATATATATACTTCTTGCATTTTACTACATTAGCAGAAAACAGGAGGATTTGAAGTGCAGAGAGTCCCCAATTTAAGAACGAGTTCCATTCTCAAGGTCTGTCCTTAAGTTGAATTTGTATGTAAGCCAGGACAGTGTTATTGTATAATACAGGTAGTGTTCAACTTACAACCATTCATTTAGTGACTGTTTGAAGTTACAAGGGCACTGAAAAGGTGACTTACGTCCAGTCCTCATGCTTATGACTGTTGCAGCATCCCCATGGTAATGTGATCAAAATTCATGTGATTGGCAACCGGCATGTATTTAAGATGGTTGCAGCACCCAGGTTCATGTGATCGCCATTTGCTAACTTCCCAGCCAGTTTCTGACAAGCAAAATTAATGGGGAACCATGTGATTCACTTAATGACTGCATGTTTTGCTTAATGACCATGTGATTCACTTAATGACCACAGTGATTTGCTTAATGACTGCCGCAACAATGTAAAATTGAGTGCAGTCGTGTGATGCCTTGTTTAATGATCTCACTGCTTAACGATAAATTTTCTGGTCCTTGTTGTGTTTGTAAGCCGAGGACTACCTGTACTGTATGTGTAATATTGTATAATTAACTCGAACTGTTGTGTATTTAATTTGAATCATTATGTATTTAACTCAAATTTTGCTACAGCAGGCTCTGTTCTTAACTATGAGTTGTCCTTAAACTGGGTGTTCTTAACCCAGAGACTAGCTGTATTAAAGTGCTCAGCTAGATTTCCAAAGTCTATTTAGCCAGGAAAAGTCTAGAGTTTGAGATTGGGGGTCAGGTGAGGAGTTATTTCTCTGTAGTAGTTACTAATCCATTTGCTAATGCTAATACATCCCTAGTATCCTTGCATTTATATTCTAGATCAGTGTTTCTCAACCTTGGCAAATTTAAGATGTGTGGACTTCAGCTCCCAGAATTCCCCAGTCCATATATCTTAAAATTGCCATGGTTGAGAAACACTGTTCTAGATGATGGGTTCTGGCTTTCTGATTACCATGTGGTTATTCTAGATTTTGGGATCTTTGGAGATTATTTTCCTCAAAATACTTCGTGGGTATTTGTGTTCTGTCTTTTCTGCCTATACAGGTGTCTGGGCAGGAGGAATTTTGTCAGAACCCACACCAACGGAAATTGCTGTTTCCTCTGTGGCCCAGCTGCCTGGGTATAACAGATGATTGTCAGTATATCACCCTTTGCCAAAGCAAGAAGTCAGGTGAGTCTCATGGTAAAATTGAAATTGTAGGTCTCGTGCTCTTTAATAATGTACACTCAGAAAGTGATGTCTTCTTTTCAGTGCGGGTTCCTCAGAATGACTGGCTTTTCAAGCTCTGGAGTTCCTAATTTTGTTTAAAGAATTATTTCCCTTGCATGCACACTATTCAATAACAGTAGCAAACTCACTGAGTAAACAGGATCAGTGGTGATTTGGGAGTGAACAATTAATGATTTTCCAGCTTTTGGTACCAGCTTATATCTCTGTTGGAGTACATGGTTGGCTTCTTGGCCTGGATGTTAAAATTAGATGAGTTCATATAAAGTAGTAACCTCGAAAACAATTAATAGGAAAAAATAAACACATCTCGTGAGCAGGAATCCAGGAATTTGCCCTGGTCTTGGTAGTCAGCTAAAATTCCTGATGGCTCCAAATGATTAGTCTTAGTTCTCCTTCCCAGAGTAGGGTTCAGAAATCAGGAAAGGGGTCATTCCAATGGTTATGGGCCAGCCCCATGATTTTGTGGTTCCACAGAGCATAGCTTTGCTTTAGGAAAAAAAATCAACATGTTGTCAGCAACATTATTGAGCTTTCTGGTTAGAAATGCTCATTTTTATCTGACTGAGAAATGAGAAGCTGATCTTACTCTATATCAGTTCATCCTGCTCTGTTTACTCAGTGCTCAGATACAGAGGATTATGGGACAGTGATCTGAATTTCTAGCTGTCCACGTATGGTAGTCACATCTAGGGGTATAAGTGGATAAGGATGTGGATAACTGGATATATCCAGGCTAGTAGGCTTAGTTTGCATTTGGTTCTTCGCAACCTTGTAACCTACATGTATATGATTTCATAAGTATGTGTGTATTTATACCAGGGTTTTAATTTTTGTTTGTTTGTTTCATGGGTCCTTAGTTTTTGAAATTGTAACTATATGGATGCATGGGGGCATGCAGCTTCATTTTAACAAGTATCAGCAGGAAATTAGATATGAATTATGAGTTTGAACACACTGTAACCATTCTATTTTTCTCCTTTGGATCTGGTTTTCTTCTGCAGACAGACTTAAATATAGTCGTGACTTCCTGCTTCAGTTCCGTTACTGTGATACTGCCTGTGAGCGACCTACAGACTTGATCCTGTTGGAAGGTGTGACAGATGCCATGCCAGGTGTCCAAGATTCTTCCCTGCTTTTTCCTCTTTCAGCAATAATATACCTCACTGCAGAAGATTTTTAATATTTAACAAGACACTCCAGAAGGGTTCATAGGTGGGGTTAAAACAGCCTTTCCCAGCTTGGTGACCTCAAGAAGCTTTGGACTTTATATTCCATTATTCCTGGGCACTATTGTCTGCTTGGTGGGGATTAATAGTGTAGAATCCCATATTGGGAGATCACCAGGTAGGGAAAGACATCCTGCATGGTCTTGCTTGATTTTCATAGTATTCAGAAGACCATCAATGAATTCTGCAAGTTGCAAGGGAGCTTTGGGCTAATATCATTCAGGCAATAAACAGACCCTTCACATTTTATGATTATTTTCTTTAAATCTGTGGTATGCCCTATGAAGCTGGAAAGAAATTATGTAAAAGGGTCAGAATGCTGTCCACCAGTGATATAACTTTCTGAAAACTGAACACACTGGGACCAAATTTGATTTGAGTGGAGAAACTGGCAAACAGTTGAAAAATGTGATGGACCTGGCCAGGGACTGTGGAGAGAAAAAAAATGTCCCCTTGCATCCATATGGGAGAAAGAGTTGGTCATTGGCTTGGAATGCTGCTGACTCTTCCATTCTAAGCTCTCTCAATCACATGATCAGAGTGGAGTGTATGCTGCCTGCCCTTTGCTTCTCAGTGCCCACAGGCACAACATAAGGAGAGAGCAGGAAAAGGCACCCAGAAGTACACATAGGCAACATGTATGCATACAACTCGATTAGTGCCTGGGGGAAAAGTGAATGTGTGCTTGCATGCACCTCCCACGGAGACAACATGCTGTTTCATTACACAGAAGAAAATACAGGCACCTTCTGTGGCCATGCCTAATTAAGAGGTTGGGAAGAATTCCTGAAGCCATCACTGTTTGGTTTCAATATCTCGTTTCAGGTCCTGAATCAAATCTGTTACTTAAAAAGTGGTAGTATTTCTCTCTTGAGCTTTAATTTTTTTTTTCTGATTCATGTCTGCACACATGCTGTAGAATGCAGCAATGAGAGTCAAAGCAGGCAGACCCATTCTAACTTGACAAATGCTGGTGCTTGGATTTATACAGAAAGTTCCGGAAGTTCTTCCAGTGTGTTGTGCAAAAAGATGGTAGTTTGCATACAACATTGGAATTAAGCTCTCGAGTCTTGACATTTTGGTATATTTTGCTATAGGAAGTTGGGGACAACTGGTTTTGTTATGTCTGTTTGACCCCAAATACTGCAAATTGGCAGATGTGTTTGATCAAATGTTTTGTTTTTGTTTTGCTGCATTGCAGACCGTCCTGCAGACTGGCCTAAGGACCTCACTGTAGAGAACAACTCTGATCCAGAACTGTTTTGTTCAAGGTAGTCTGTATGATGGGAATTTTGGGAGTTCTAATTCCAACACATCTGTGGGGTACGAGATTGGGGAAGGCTACAATAAATAATGAAAGAATGCTTGTCAAAGTGAGTTTGAGGCAGACATTTTGTCAAGAATCTATGTCTTTTAAATAATATGAACTATTTTGGTCATCATGGATAATTTTTTTTGCTTTCAGTACAGATGGTCCTTGACTTATGACCATTCATTCAGCAACCATTTGAAGCTATGATGGTGCTGAATGAAGGGACTTAGAACTGGTCCCCAAAGTTATGGCTCTTGCAACGCCCCTGCGGGCATGCAATCAAAATCCAGGCATTTGGCAGCCCGCCTGCACTTACAACTGCAGGGGTACTTCAACTCACCCCATCCACCTGTCTCCCCCCCATCTATGCCCTTTTGGCCCCCTGCATTCCATGACCCCTGCTGTCCTAGCTGACCTTCACTGTCTTGCTCCTGCTGCTGACCAAGCATGCCTGGTCTGGCCCTTCATGAGACAGCTGCTGGCCATGTGAAGCTATCTTCCCCAGGTCTCATGAGAAAACTGCCATATGTGACTTTGGGAAGAAAACCTCATGTGACCAGTAGCTGCCTCGCGAAGGGCGAGGCTGGGCATGCCTTGTCAGCACTGGGAGCAAGAAAATGGTGAAGGTCAGCTGGGGCGGCAGAGTGCAGGGTGTCAAGTGCACCTGGGACTGGGTTGGGACGGCTGAGGCTTCCCGTGGTGCGGCAGCTTTGTGCCATGCTGCTGGGCTAGGCTTTGTGTGGCACAAAAGGGCTTCCTGGCACGCCATGGCTCTGGGGCTTTTTGCTTTATTCTGGGGCTGGGCTTTGCATGGTGCAAAGGGGCCTCCTGGCGTGCCGTGGCTCTGGGGCTTTTTGCTTTTGCTGGGGCTGGGCTTCATGGGGCTCAAAGGGGCTTTCTGCTGCGCCATGTCCCTGGGGCTTTTTACTTTTTTCAGCCCCAGAGCCGTGGCGTGCCAGGAAGCGCCCTTGCGCTGTGTAAAGCCCAGCCCCAGCCTGGCCCAGCAGCCTGGTGCAAAGGGGTTTCTTGGCACGCTGCGGCTTTGGGGCTGAAAAAAGCTTGCAGCCCCAGAGCCACGGCACACCAAGAGGCCCCTGTGCTGCAGTGTATTCTTTCCCCAGCCTTCCTGAGCTCATGCCACACTGCAGCCCCCCCACACACAACTGTGCGTGGCCTCCACCCAGGCCTCCCCCAGTCCCCCGTCGGACCCCCATGCTCCTCACCTGGGACTCCTGCCTGTTCCCACTTAGCGACCCACACGTCTTGGGGTTATGACAGCAACTGGGCCTGCCCGGGATTGCCATCGCTAAGCGATGCAGTCAAGTGACATTGTGCTTTACGACCACATTGCTTAGCGAGTGGTTCCAGTCCTAGTTGTGGTTGTAAGTCAAGGACTGCCTGTAGTGAAATAAATCCAGCTAACCAGAGGAAGGCTTAGGAAGTGAAGAATCTCCTTGAAACTTTAATGAAAGATGTAGTAGAACATCGTACCACTTCATGTCGCTTTTAAATGTTATATTAATAAGGTACCAGATGATTTCTTAGTTTGGGGATTGTTATAAATATTCACAAATTCCCCTTGACATTTGTTACATTTGAGCAGTTAGCAACGTTTGGCAGTATGGCTAATCCTGAGGAAAAGTGCCCTTAACTTTCAGGGGACTTTCCATCACAATCTAATCCTGGGGCAACGTTCATATAATTGCTTTGGTTGATAATGCCATATAAGAGTCCTTCCCCAGTATGTTCTCCTGGAACAGTTTGCAACTTTGCATTTCTGGATGAAATGCTGTAGTACATTATGTTTGTCCTTTGCATGATTTCTTAGACATTAATTAAAAATAACATGAAATGAACCTGAAAATAACATGAGCATTCAATAATAGTAAACAACAGCTACTGGAAATGGGGCTGTTGCCTGACTATCACTGACATTTTCTTCTCATGCAGCTTCAAATAACTGATTTTGTTAGGAATATAGAAAGAGAGAAAAAAGATTAACCTCCTCTTTTTCATAGGCTGTGTCCTTAATAATCATCAGTCCTTGGTGTACAGCTTTGGCTTGAGTAAATTTCTGACGCATGGCAATAAAAACAGTAAATACTAGCTGAGTTTGTTTTTCTTGCTTCCAATTCTGTTGTTAAATGCCATCTGCCCCCTCTTCTGTTTTGGGGGTGGAATCTCTTTCCTGGGTGTAGGTATCCGGGCAGTATTCACCATGGCCTCACCCTGACCTCAGCTTACAGCCACTTCCTGCCTGAGAGAGGTTGTCCAGAGATTACAACCATGCCAATGGGAGTGGGGGCCACTGTGGATTATATCTTCTACTCAGCAACACCAGTCAAGAATGATAAGGAAGAATGTGAGTAGGCATTTTTCTTTCAGCAAGCATGTGTATTTTCTGAGACCTCTTTTTGATTTGTTGCATTCCTACAGTGGGCCATTGAATGTATCAATTTATATAGGCACAAGTTCTGTAACTTCAGCTTTTTTAAAAAAAAATTGTTCTGATTATATATCTTTTCTGCTTCTTACGACTTTCCTTTAATGATTGTCAGATGGGGGAGGTATCCATAATTATATTAACATCTATTTCTGCAGTGGGCTTCCCCTTGTTCTCCTTCCCTCTTGTGTTCCCTTTTCTCAAATCCATAAAAACTATTTAAGAGGTGAAGAATTTTCTGGTGCAAGTGCTATGAGATGAAGAGAGAGAACTTCAGGAGGGAAGGGAAATTGTCCAGCTCTGTGAACAGAAACTGATCTACCTCCAGCAGTGGACCCCTGAATTCTGCCCAGAGTGCTGACTTTCCATTGTTTTGCTTAGTTCTGTCTGCTTAGTTGTAATCCTGCTCTAATCTAGTTCCCCTATCCTTCCACCAACATTGTATCCACCAATATGATATACTGCTTATACTGTATCTCTGATTTAATTCTTCAGAGTTTTTCAAGGAGAAGATTCTTGTGTCCATGTCAAATGCTAGCCCCTGCTTTTCCTCAGTTTATTCTGGGAAGAAATGTTGAGGATTATTTCTCAGCAATGCATTGTTCACTCTCCTCCCATTCATTTGAGGTCTAACTTGATGAGTGGATTGAAAACTGAATTTAAATTTAGCAGCATGGAAGCCAAGAAATTGACACATATATAGTGACAGCAGCAAGACTAGAAACACATTTTTATTGTGTAACTTCCCTCATTTGTTTCACTGCTCACATTGTTCTGAATGCTGAAAATGAGTTATATGGATATTTGAGAACTTGCCACATGGTCATGTCACATTTTTTAAGAAAAAACATATAGAAAAGGATATCAAAAGCTTGGGTAAGTGTCTGGGCTTAGAAATGTATCTGTTGTAAATATTTCTTGCATTGCTGTGACTGTTGTTTGTATCTCTATCTGCATTTCTTTTATCTTCTGACAGCTCCGTTACAGCTTTACTTTGTGGGGCCCTGTTCATACTTCCTGTTCTGCTTCTTATTTAGATCGCAGGATGTACCAGGATGGAGCCCTAAAGCTGCTTGGCCGCCTCTCCCTTCTCTCTGAAGACATCCTTTGGTCAGCAAATGGCTTGCCAAATCCTTTCTGTTCATCTGATCATCTCTGTCTGCTGGCCAGCTTTGGGCTAGAGATTTCTGACTTCTAATCATGTGCCAGATCTTCAGGACTCTCTTAAGAGTTGCCTGAATGGGAAAATCATGCTACTGAAGTTTGCATCAGCGAACGAAAAGAAAAAAAAAAAGGATCTTTCCCATCCTTCCCCCTTCCCTATTTTTGAGATGTCCTTGTTCTTTTCTCCCTTTTTTTCATGAGGAAATAACGATTTGGTTTACTCTAGAATTCTGCAATCTTAGTCTGAGCTTCACTGCCACTTTATGTCTGCCTATAGTCTGGCCACTGTACCATCTTAAAGGGCATCCTGCCATCAAACTGGTAGCCTTCTCTATTTGGTCTTCCTCTGTTTGGAAAGTATGCTTAGCCAGCACCAGTTAGCAGGGCGTGTCATGGAGCACCACAAAAATCTGAACAGAGTCTTCATGTAATGTGGGCTACATACACACACACACACACACACAAACAAACAAACCCTTGCTTTGTGCTGCAGGCAGCAAGGGATCTCTGTATTGTTTTCTATTGCATTCAAACCAGAGTAATGGTGATGGAGTGATTTAAACTTTTTGAGAGCTGGTGATAGTGGTGCTATTGCTGCTGCTGATCCTGTTTCCATGGGTAGATGCTTGTTGATTGGCACACCCCTCTTGTTTGTTTGGAAATGAAATTAATTCAGCTGGTGTCCCCTGACTACCCAGAAGCTTTTCCATAGATTCCCCAGGCAATTTAATTTGTTTGCATGGCATCAAAGCTTCTTGAAAGCTGCTCTAATATCAGATTAAAAATTAATTTTATTCTCTGTTCTGAGAACCTTGTATTTTATTGTCAGGTTCTTCAAGAGGCTTTTTACACTCTGATTCATCAGCTTGGGATGTTTTTGCTGCCTCTGGTGGCAACTAGAGTTGCAAATAAGGACTGCCAAAACTGATAGAAAATGACAGATGCTTTGTGAGCGTGTGTATTTTTTTTAATCTGGAAGCCACATTGTTGGGAACTTCAAGTGGGCCTGGCAGTTGCTGCTCATTTTTAAAAAATATATTAACAGATTGTTAAAGGAATATGTGATTCAGAGTAATGGTTGGTCTGTAATTAACTCCCATTCTCAATACATAGAAAACATGATTTATTACAGCTGTGTGTGGGCCATGTGCAAGGTTATGTTGAAAAAATGCATTGGGAGCTTTCAGTATTTTTAATGTTTTCTTAAATTTAAAAGAAAAAATAAATTTTTATAATTTCAGAAAAGTTGTAAATTCAGTTGGTTGAGTCTGGAGAAGTGAGCGAGCTGAAGCACTTTGAGGGTATCTGTGGGGCTCCAGGATTGCCCTCAGGTGGATGTTGTGGGATTTGCTTAGAATGCGTGCTTTGTTTCTCAACAGACAAGTGCTAGAAAAGATGAATACTGGACCTCCCTCAGGAGCTCACCAGAATATAATAATGCCTAATCGTTCAGGTTCTTTCTCTTACAGGAGCAGGCAGAAAGAAAATTAGGATCTGTTGATAAATTTCTGGATGATTACAAGAGTCTTATTTCTAATTCAGCTTCTTCAATTGGAAGAAGTATTGTTCATTACAGTTCTTATTAAGAATCTTAACTGCATTTTGCTGCTGATTTTGTGCTTTTCTGCTGGTTGATTTGAAAAGTTTTAGGTAGGAATTCCAAATCTGTAATAATTTGCATGTAGATTTTACTTCAGCTTTGACTCAAGTTATAGGAAGTAATGGTCAACCCCATTAGTGCCTAACATGACCACTTCAGGTACTGTATTTTTAACCTGGCTGTAATTGGAGGACCTTGATGCCCTGCACAAACTAGATAGTACTTGACTGATAGGTATATGAATATTCATTTTAGAGCAGAAGTAGGTAGCCTATGAGCCACATGCAATCCCAAGATTGCACCAAAATGCTGGTTATTGGAAGAGAGAAGGAATTTTTCATATTTTTTTAAGGAAAAAAGTCAGGAAAAACCTACTTTAATAAAAATAACCATCTCCCAAACTTTATTGAAAATTCTAACTCCATTCCCTCTGCTATCTCTGGCATATGCTTTCAGCCTTAGGTGTTGCCTCTCTCTGCAAAATGTTTTTGTACTCCTACTTGAGAATCTTAGAGAGACTTACTCTGCAATCTTTACTTACCTACTTGTGAATAAGCCCCGTTGTGCTCCAGATAACTTCTGAGTAGATGTATACAAGACTGTGTTGTTAAGGATCCAAATAAGAGAGATTTGCAGGATTGGAGGTTTTCATCAACACGATGAAAGCAACATCACACTGTAACCCTTGTCCCTTTGTACATGTGAACTATGTCACATCATATGTAGACAATGGGAGGAACTTGTGACATAACACTGCTTTTATCAGTTGTCCTCCCTTGATGCCCCCATTTGCTGCAGACATTTCTGATCTGAATGTAATCTTGAAATTTACAAAGAGAAAGTCTCCTTTAAGTTGAGCTTCACTACTGATGACTTCATGGCCACATCCAAGTAGTTATTGTGGCAACAAATGTAGAAATAATTTGCCACATGCTTCTTCCTGGAGGCATCCCATATAAATACTAACCAGTTTGGATTGTGCTTTATTTTTTGAGACCAGCCAAGGCAAATCACTTTCTTTGTTGCCAAGAAAATTACATGGAGTATCCACCTTGTCACCAGAAGCTAAGCGTGACTGGAAGGACTGTTTGTCTTTGGTAAGGACCCACTTTAGAGTTTAAAACAGCCTTTAGAGGCACATTCATATCTTTGCCTCTTTTCAAGACAGTTCAGTAGTATTTTTTTTCTCAAGGCACTTCCTTATTTCTATTTCCGCTAACAAATGCTGTATTTATTTTATATTGCATACTCACTATATGCTACTTAGCATTAGATGAAGGATTTCAAAATTGGTTTCATTTGATAGGTTTTATACTTGAAAAAACAAATCTAAAACTTTTCATCAGTGTGTTCTGAGACATTTCAGATAGCTTTTTTAGTCTACCTACCAGCAGAATTTCTCACCTAATGAGGTTTTCTAAAAGTCTCCGCTCTCTTCATAGGTAACATTTAGTTCAGGTCATGTACTACAGATGAGATCTACCACTGTTCTAAAGCAAAACTGATAGAGTAAAAAGTGTTCGATTTGGAAATAATGGATCTCATTCTTGCTGCTGGTTTTCTCTCAGCTGCCACATCCATGTTATTAGTTTGTAAACAAGGCATAAAACAATTGCCAATGAGTAGGGGCCTGTGGTGTTCCAGGAACCATGTCACCTTAAATGAATGTGGGAAAGTTAGATCATTATATCTAGGCCTTTGTCTTAATTTCATTAACTTGTTTAAGACTTAATTTCTTTAAGACTTTTTAAGATGAGTGTTGGTCACTTGAAAAAAAAAATCTAGTGAGAGGAAAGGTTTTATGAAAAGAGTGTGAAGAACTAGGAAACTTCTTGGATATAATGATGGAAGAGCCATAATCTGACAAATGTAAATTCTCAATACATTTCAGTTGTGGAAACTTTAATACAGTAATGCATCAAATCTTTCCTCTCTTCATAAAGTTCTGTACTAATCTTGAGTGTAACTGACATTCTCAATCTTAAGTGTTGTCATTTATAGCATGCTAGAAAGCTAATAGGATGTATGCTTTACTGGAAGTAATTCTGTCTTGGAATATTGCTAATAGCCTTTCTCTGCTTAAAAACAACTCATTGCAGTTTTAGCAGTGTAGAATAATCGTTGTAGTATTGATGGTTGCAGTGGGTATTACAGATATGCACTGTTCCTGAACAGGCCAGTCCCAGAAGCCTGCTGTAACGATGCACCCAAACATACTCTTTTTTTATTTGGGGAGGAAGAAGTCTTAATCATTAATAACAGCATCAATAAACAATTGTTTTATCACTCACAAGGTTAAAAAATGTGAAGAAACAAACTTTATTTTTAATTCTGAACAAGAATTGGGATAAGAAATACAAAATTGAAGAGTAACAAGAACTAAATCTATGCAGGTTCAGTACCAGTGGTGGAAGAGCACAGATCTATGAGGTGGTACTAGTTCACAGAAGATACATAACATAATCCATAAAGAAACAAAACTGTACTTTGCTGTCATGGCAACAGACCTGAAAACAAAATAAACTGCTAAAATGTGATAAATACTGATTGTCTCAAAGCAATGCCCTCATTTCCCTTGGAACCATCTTGTTTCTGACAAAATTAGAGGATCTCTAAACTACAGGCAATCACAATTGTTTGAGGCAGGTGGTTAGCATGTCATGCCAAGAGAGTGGTTTGTGGATAATAAGACATCTGTTGCTGAGATCATGCTTCATTTAGATTTCCCTACGGACCCTAGCTAAGCTCACTTTCTGGCCAATTAACAGGGTAGGACCAGCAGTCTGTGACAAAAGAACTGAGCTGGAAATTCCTTGCACACATTTTTAAGATAAAACTATAATTCTGCACAGAGCCCTAAAGCTAACTGCTGATTTATTTTACGTGCAATACCTCCTTAACAAGAAGCCGGTTTGAACTCTGTTCTAGGGACGTCTTCAGTGACTAGGGGTTCCTTAATAAGAACTCAGTATTGGTATATATAATCACAATTGTACATTTTCTCTTGCATTCACCAGCCTCTGAGAAGTTCTGGATTGTTGTTCTTCAAAAGCAATTCCCCCATTGCAAAAACATGGACATGTCAAAACACATATGCAAAAACTGCTTTCAAGAGAGAGACGGGACCAGGGCTTTAAGCCAACATAGAATTAGCAGGTGACCACGTTAGATTCTGTCAATGTGTCTGTCCATTAATTCTTGATACAGAAGTAACAGGCTGACTGGAGGCTAAAGAACAAGGACACAGAGATGCTTATGTACACTATCCACTGCATAAACACTGCAAATGGATATCACAACGCACAGACATATAATCAACCAATCACAAAATTGCAGAGTTTCAGCTAAGGTTTTCACCAAATATAGTTGTTATGTGATCTAAAACAGATCTAATACTGACAAGTATTGTGCAAACCAATTTAAATACTCTTCATATGCTGGGTCTGGGTAGCAGCAGTAATGCATAAATTAAAAATACCAGTGCACGTGAGAAGAGAACACTATAGTAACATTATTCGGTTGTAGCATTTCCCATGGACTGCTCTGAATTTTTTGGTTCAGCCCTGCTACAGTATACACAGCTCCTTCCTTTCCATTCAAGCCTTAAGGAGAAGTTTTGAAATGTCTCTCCAGTGAGTCCCTCCTCAGGTTTGTATTTTTTCTCATAACACTGTATTGTTGCTTTCATCACTTCCACAACTGATGATTCCAAATAAGCACACAAATTCACACAGCTAAATGGAGTGTATCAGTGACATACCTAGAGTTTCACATGATCAAGCCTTAATGGAATAAGTCAAAACGTTTGATTCACCCCAGCACCAGTCTTCAAGCTGCATCTTTGGGCTGAAAGTGTGGGGAGGAATACACCATGTCACTGCGTACTGTCCAGGACAAGGGTAGGCAACATTTCCCTTAGTAAGCTCATTTATAAATGCAAAGCGTTTTGTATGAGACATGCATGGATATGCTCAGCACCACTCTAATCACTATAAGGCTGCTACAACTTAGATTCTTTTAATCTTTACTACTTAGTGCTTTATGGGAAGCCACCTGCGATAATAAAATGCAACTATCTCTAATCCCCTTACCATCACACTCACACTTTTACATGTTTAGTCATAGCTATTAAAGATACTTTGGTTGTAGCTTAGTTCTGCTTACTTGCATGGATGGAACATGAATTGAAGATGCTTAGT